AAACCCTAAACCCCTAAACCGTACTAAACCCCGAAGACCCAGGTGTTTCGACTGCAAAATCGAAGGCTGCGTCTGCTTCCTTTGAGACCCAGACCTTCCAGATGAAGGAAGAGACCTTGGTTTCTATAAGGGTGCTATAAGAGTTATGGAATATACCTTAAATGATAGTAAAGGGCCCCCCTACACCCTAAACCCTAAACCCTAAACCCTAATATGATTTAAGGTATACTTCTTGATGAAGGGATTTTGGTCCAGGTCTCGGAAGGCACTCGGGAGCAACGTCGCGCTGGGACCAAAATCCGGCGGCGCAGGGTGTGGGGTTTAGGCGTTTAGGGATTAGGGGTTCAAAGGGCTGAGGGTTTACGATCTAGACGGTTTAGGGTTTAGGCTGTTCGGATTTAGGGGTTAGGATTCAGTGGTACGGGTTTTGGGCTTCAGGATTATGGTTCAGGATTATGACTAAAGTTTAGGGTTTAGGGGCTTAGGGAGTAAAGCCCAAAAAGTTGGAAACCGGATTAAGGACAAGTAGTGCGGGATTCCCTATACATTACTGTGAAGGATTGAGGCTATTGGGTTTCCAAATTTTGGGCTTCTACTGTAGAGCCGTGAAACGTTCACAGGATCCGATTAGTCTCCGGAGCCTCTGTTGTTTCCACAGGCCTTTGACACTTTGAACTTTGGGGCGTATTTCAGCATAAACATGCAGGGACTATGCCGGGATATTGATTAAGCCAGTTTTCGGTCAGACTTTTGTATGACTTCGAAAGGAGGGTCTCCGGCTGCAAGAGCAGCATAAGTGCCAAGACCCTAACTCCTGAACCCTAAACCCTAAACCCTAAACATCCTAAACCCTAAACCCTAAGCCTGAATCCTCGAACCCTGAACCAGCTGTACAAGGTTCAGTTCAGGGTTTTTTGCGGCGTTAGGGCTTCAGGGTTGGAGGCTTATAGGGCTTCGGGGTTTAGGGTTCTTAGGGTTTGGGGTTCAGAGTTTTGGGTTTAGGGTTTGGGGTTCAAGGTTTAGGATTTAGGAGGGCTTCGGGGTTCAGGGGGGTTCTTAGGATTTCACGGTTTAGGGCTCTGAGTAAGTAGTTTGAGGCTCAAGTTTTAGAGGGGCTTAGTGTTTAGCATTTACAAGTTTCAGGATTTGGGGTCCGGAAGCCTGCATGTCAAGAACCCTACTGTAAGGACCAAATGCCTGCAGCGGTGCAGGGTTGCTTGAAACGGGGGATGTCAGCCCTGCACAGCAACCTACCCTTGAATCCAACAGATTACCGGGTTTCTGCTTGACACCTCGGGTTGTGACCTACTACTTGGAGGTTCGCGGGTAGTTATAAGTGGGGTTTTAAGTCCCCGAATATGGGTCATAGCTACAGTTACCCCACTTATAGCCCTACTTATAACTACACATGAACCTCCAACTAGCTCGTATGGTTGGAAATCTTAACCCTTAAACCCTAAACCCTAAACCCCAAATCTCAGGATTTGAGTTTGTTGCAGTTTGCTTCTCCTCCGGGTTTGAACTATACCGATGAACCTCGATTCTAGCCTCGAAGTCATGCCCAATAAGACTGTGTAGCTACGGAGTACAGGGTTTAGGGTTTAGGGTCTAGTTCAGGATGAATCAGACTGGGCATCCCTGTATGCTTGAAGATGAGTCTATTTATTAGTTAGGCCGCATTGGGCTTTCTGGGTGTTCACGTTCGGACGTCTTTTATAGCTCAAGACCACTTCCCACCCAAAGCCTCGCACCCTATCGGCCCACCAGGCTGCATCAACATCCAGTCCAAGCCCTATGAAGCCTGCAGACAAAGCAGATACACAAGCAAAGCGAGTCTATTCTTTAGGGTTTAGGGTTTAGGGTGTAGGGGCTTAGGGTTTGATCACCACAACGCCCTAATGAACCCGAAAACAATCGCAGGGGAATGGCCCAGCGTAGCAAAAGAAATTGGAAGCCACGGGAACCTCGGGCGCCCCACACGAGGCTTTAGGATTTACTAAATTCCTGCGGAGTACCCTTCTGCCCTTTTTATGGTATGTTTCCCTTAGTAAAGCTGAATAACACTCTAAACTAAACCCTAAACCCTAAACCTTTTTGTTTAAGGGGTCACTCAGGAACTCAGTTTAGGGTTTAGGGTTTGACTCAGGAGTGGAAGACAACCGGGACCCTCCCTATGGCCCCAAATAATGGGCATTTTGGGTCGAGTAGTCTAGGGCACTTTCAGGTGGGTAGTTAGTGTCATAGGAGCCTTATAGAAGGTCTATATATACCTTATGGAGGCCTTATAGAAGCGCTGTATACCCTAAACTCCCCACCCGTAGTTTCCTTTAAACTAGAGGGTAGATGGAGGGGCTAGGCATGACCTTGAACCTCATAGGCTACTTGGAGGTTCATGCTAGGTATAAGTAGGGCTGTAAGTAACCCATATTAGGGGACTTATGACCATACTTATAACTACCCATGAACCTCCAAGTAGGGTTTGATATTTTGGGTTTAGTAATTTAGGGCATCGTCTTTTACTTGGTTGTTTCTGCATTTCTGTTGCAAAACGAACGCAAAAGGTACATACTCTTCCCAGCGGGTTGCTGACCCTAAGCCCAAAGCGCTAAAACTTTATATTTAAGGGCCTTAATAGTTAGAATAAGGTTTGTGGTACATTGTACTATATTTAATATTTAACATAAGGTACCCCCAAAACCCTATTCTA